TAATAACTGCTACCAACTGTACTCTTTTGAAAATCTCATTTTCCACTGAATGTATCTCCACCCAATTCCATAACAATTTTTATGCTTTCTGTTATTAAATCATCATCTTTTCCACTAGTGTGGGTCAGATAGGAGGCTGTGTTTGTGTGTGTAGTGGAGACACAATCTGCTTCGTTGAATTTCACAATTCCATCTTTCCACTTACCCTCTGTATGTCAGAGACTGTTTCTGAGTTTCATATCTTACCTATTTTCTCAGTGGTCATTGCAACTCAACTCTGGAATCAAAGGTACCAATGAAATTCATTTTTTGTAACTTAACAGGAATCAGAAACTTAAGATGAGGCATCCTTATCCTCTTACCCTGGTCATATCACCCAGTCCCCTCTCCCTAATTTTCTCTCTTATATTTTGGTAGCACTTGGTGAAACACCAAACCCTGTAGCCAAGCAAACATCTACATGGAGAGCTGGGGAATCACAACTTAGAATTAAGACTTCTATGAATTGGCTCCAAAGGATTTGATAAGTATTTCTCAAGAGTATTCTATGTCACCATAATTCCTAATAATCCCAAAGATCAGGAATTGATAATAGTTAGTGTTTATTGTGATACATGTCGATAACACCTGATCTACAACTGACCTGGCCAAGACCAATGAATGTTATATTTCTTAGTAAGATCTAACAGAGTTCCACCTCTGGATTATTTGTATCACCAATGTAGAGTGCACTCATGAACTTTACTAAGATATTAAGTCACTTAAATCCTCACAGTAACCCTATGAGGTAGTTACTATTTTAGTCACCAAATTATACATGAGAGAACTGAGGCTCAGACATGCTAAGTAACCTATTTGTCTTTTATTTACTATTGTATAGTTGAATTCCAGCAAACAGGAATCCAATTAAAATTTCAAATCCATCTTAAAAACCCATTTTAGTTTTACTTTTCTATCATTACAAATGGTTATTTGGGATTCTAAATCTGATAATGAACTTCATAACTTGTAATTTTTGTGATCTGTTAGACGTAAACCATGGTCCTTGATATAACCTTAATACAGAATTATCGAGCCTATAACTTTTTTTTTTTTTTTTTTTGACAGGCAGAGTGGACAGTGAGAGAGAGAGACAGAGAGAAAGGTCTTCCTTTGCCGTTGGTTTACCCTCCAATGGCTGCTGCAGCCTGCGTGCTACTGCCGGTGCATCGTGCAGATCCGAAGGCAGGAGTCAGGTGCTTCTGGTCTCCCATGGGGTGCAGGGCCCAAGCACTTGGGCCATCCTCCACTGCACTCCCTGGCCACAGCAGAGAGCTGGCCTGGAAGAAGGGCAACCGGGACAGAATCTGGCGCCCTGACTGGGACTAGAACCCGGTGTGCCGGTGCCACAAGGCAGAGGATTAGCCTATTGAGCCACGGCGCCGGCCGAGCCTATAACTTTGTAGCATTCACCCATAAATCTTTTTCTATCTAGTGGCAACTGTCCTTTAGACACTGTATCTATTTTTAATGATTGGTTTAATTTGCTCACATACTTTTTCAAAAATATTTTTGTAAATATAAAGCTCTCTTGAGGTTTCCTCATATTATGCATGGGATTTTCTTCTAACTTAAAAATATTGCTTTACCATTGTTACATCCCTCTTTAGTTGTCTTGTTATTGTTCACCCAATCTGATAATGTGAATTCAGAAAAATACATGTAAGATAGTTCAACATAATCAGATTTATTTACAAGTTTAAGATTTATGAATGTAACACTTTTCATTTAAAATTGTCATTTTTGGGAATGCCATATTTAAAATGAGAGCTTGTATTAGTCAACTTTTTGTTATTGCAATGAGAGACCTGAGACATGAAAGAAAGAGGTTTATTTAAATCAGTTTTCAGGCTGAAATGGCAATGTGCAAGCTCTGGTGAAAGCCCTATGGAAGATGGTCAGCTACATGTAGGATCACAAGGTGAGCCAGGCAGCAGAGATTGGGTCAGTGGAGGCAAATCTCTGGCTTTTATAACTACCCTCTTGGGAGATCTACTTGGTAAGAGCATGTCCCCAGGGACCAAAGATCTCCCATGATGCTCCACCTCCCAAAGGTTGTACCACCTCCCAATAGCACCACCTTGCAGACCCGGCCTTTAACACCCAAATCATACCAGAGTTTAGTATAATATAACTTAGTATCAATCTCTTCTATTATTTGGGTGTTGAATGTGTTTTTACTTACTACCACTTTCTTTTTTGTGATCTAGTTTATATTCTTTAACATCTTCTTCAAAAACATTATCTACATTCATTTTATTCATATTTATATGCATGTATATGTATACTCACAAACATACACAGTATTTTAATTGATAATTTCAATTATAGCTTCTTGACAGAACAATTACTGAGATTGAAGTTGACTGATGTTGAACAATAACCATCTTGTAAGAATCTCCCTGCGTTCTTACCACACAAGAGACTAAAAAGTGCCAGTTTATGATATCAAATTTAGTAATGTTATATAGTCCTTAGGTTCTCCAAATTGTGCTATGAATAAATTTTAATCATTCTGAGCACCATGTATATTGGGTATAACATCTCAGGCATGTATCATTCATGTACCATGGATGTTAGGGAGTCGGTATCAGTTCAGTATATATTCAGAATTTGTTGTTTAAAAGAAATGGGTCGTTACATATTACATAATCATCTATATAATATTCTTATAATATTTCAATGATTTTATTACTTAAGCTCTCAATGCTTCCAAATTTAACCAATAGGAACACAAAAATTTTATTTGTGGTGCCACTTGTGAAAAGAACAACATGTTTTTACTGTCTGCTTTTACTCTTTAATAGGTATGGAAATGGTTGACAATATCTCAGCTTCATGTGTCCATTTGTGTGTGTGGTGACATGCCCTTGACATTGATAAAACCATGCAGAAGATCTGAGTAAACAAGTTTCTTTAAGAACTATTTAGAACTGAGTGGAGATTCGTAGTGTTTTGAAATAACAAATAAATGTATTTTAAACTCATAAATGACCAAGACATGTCTGCAATATATTTCATATATTTTAGAACTGTATCAAAAAGTTTGATATTTAGTAAATTCTGTGCTTAATATGTCACCATGGTAACTAAACCATGAAAAACGTATATGTGGATAAAGCGTTACAGCTTCTGATAATTTTCTCTTTGGAGCTTATTTTTTTTAAGTTTTTCTGGAGTCTATCATATCAAGTTTCATATTAAATGAACTGAAGCACATTTAGATCAGGATAATAACCATAGTTGACCCTTGGCCAACATCTCATGATTTGGAGAAACAATTGAAAGTGTAACAGGAGTAGACTAAAGGTAAAACTGCAACCAGATACAACACAGATGTGGTAAGTGATGGCATATACACCAGATTGTGGCTTAACTCCTACAAGTGTTAAGCGGTTATTTCCCAATTACAGTGCCTTTGAGCAAAATACAAACACGAGGCCTGGTGAGCAATGTCGCACAACAGGAGAAAGCATCACAGGCTTCACGGCCTTTGGAAGGCAGGAACTGCATGCTGGTGAGTTTCTCACTGGCCCGGCTCATAGCCCGCCTCGCACTGTGGCGCTCTATCAGTGTTTTTTGAATGAACTATTTGTTATCTGAACGTTGGAAAGAGCAACATAATGCCGATGAGAATATTTAAAAATAAGAGGCTGCTGCTCCCTTCTCCACCCCTCTTCAAGGTGCCTTCTGTACTAGGTTCAGGTGAGAGGCCCCGACTAACCAGAAGGGGATCCTGAAGGTGTAGGAAGCTGGAGGGGAGACCCTCATGCAGGGTCCTCAGAAAGTTCATGGAAAACGCGAGCTATGGAACACTCTGAGTACATTCAAGATTTTAACATCAAAATCAACTTAATTTTTAGTTCCATTTTCCCACGAACTTTCTGAATGACCCTTTGCCATTTCTCTTCTAGTTGATCATAGGGCCACTAAATCACTATTAGGGTCCCCCTCTTTGAACCCGCTGGCCCTAATTATTCTCAGGCCTTTTGAATCTCCAGTTTTCCCTGCCTGCTTCCCCGTGTGGTAGGTGTTTTGGTACCTGTCCTCCCCACCTCCATCAAATTAGTTACGGAAGGCTCTTCTTCTGTGCCGGGGCTGTGATTCATGCAGGATGTGTGTGTAATACGCGCTGACGATTGTAATCCCAATCCCAAATGAGACTGGGACTAACTCAGTCCCTCCTGGGTTGGCCTCTTTTTCCAGCAGCGGTGACGCGGGGGGCAGGTCCCCTACGTCTTTTTCAGAGGGGGGCGCCCTGAAGGGCAGAAACGGGGCGTGAATCGTCCAGACAGGGCCTCGGCCAAACGACCGCCCTGTTCACCTGGCAGGGCACCGGCACGGGCGAGGGAGAGACCAGCCCGTCTACTGCGGGAGGTGCACCGCAGGGCTGGGGTGCCCACCCACTTGGCCCGCAGTCTCCGCCCCGCGTCGCGCACGCTTAAGTATGCGCCCGAGGCCCCGCCCACGCCTGGCCTCGCCCCCGGCCCCGGCTCCGGCTCCGCGGGCGGCGGGGGCGGTGAGAAGCCGCAGCTGCAACTTCGCTTTAGAGCCTTTGAGCCCGGGCTCAGCCAGGGATCCAGCTGCAGTCGCAGCGGAGCCGCCGCTTCCCCAGCACGGGCCTCAGCCCCTCCGGCTTGGCCATGGCAGCCGCCTCCACTGCGGCGAATCGGGCCCCTTCGCTCCTCGCCCGTCGCTGAGCAGCCGTTAAGCCGCCCGCCCTCCTGCGGGCGCTGCCACGGCCCAGGCTCCGCACAAGTTTCCGCCGCGGGAGAAGCAGGAGGCGAAGGCGAAGGAGGACGGACGTGGGGAATCGGGCGCCCCCGGCCCACCCGCCCGCGATGTGGGGGCGCTTCCTGGCCCCGGAGGCCGGCGGCCGGGACAGCCCCGGCGGGGCCCGCAGCTTCTCGGCCGGTGAGGAACGGGGTGGCACCCGGCTGGGGTGGGGGACACGCCGACCGCGACGCCTCGGGACCCCGCCGCCGCTCCCTTCCCTCCTCAGGCCTGCCTTCCCCGCCGCCGCCGCCTCTCCGACGCCGCCGCGCGCCCGCCCGCCCCGTTTCCTCCCGCGGCCAGCTCCGGGTCCCCGGCGGTCCCGGGCGCGTCCGTCCCGCATCCCAGCGTAGCGGCCCGCAGCCGCAGCGTCCGCAACTTTCAGCTCCCTCGGGCCCTCCTTGGATTGGGCTTTGTTTCCGCCGTCATCCTCTTTCCTGTGGGGAGTGTGAGCCGCGGCTAACGGGGCTTGCCGGCCGCGCGCGGCGGCCGGGGCGGAAGGTCGCTGCGACCGTGCTGCGGCGGCGGCGGCTCGGGGCTCGCCCGCGGGATCGGTGCGGGGCGCGGGCCCAGCTCTGCTGTGCGCACGCCAGCTGCCGCTCCTCTACGGCACGTTTTGGGGCAGGAGGAGGCTGCTGGGGCTGCGGTCGCAGGAAGCGACCCCCGAGGGGACTTCAGCCCCTCAGGACCTGGTCGCCGCCCTGCAGTCTGCCCCGGCGTTAGGGGAGGAGGTCACGTCCAGCCTGGGGCAGTGCACCATTGAGCAAGGGGGTTGTTAATCCGTTAGCTCCTTCCAGGCCCCTTCTAGGAAAATGAGGGGTTTGCGGCGATCGGTGCTGCGTTGAGGGGTTGTGTGCCCAGGACAGCCATTTCATGCCTGCGTTGCTCCCCAATTGAGTGGGAGACGCTAGGCGAGGACAGATCCTCGCCGCATTTGGGGTGGAAAATAAGGCTAGTGTTGCCCGTGACAAGTTAGCTAAGGATGACCATCCTTCCAGGCACTTTGATGATAATTGCATTTTGATCCCATTTGAAAAGGTGGAAGTTACATGGACCCTTTATCCACCCCAAAATCACATACCCCCAGTTTTTCTCTGTAATAGTAGGTGGTTCTGGGGCTTCCTGTTTTAGTAACCTTGTTCTACACACTGTTGGAGGTTGACTTGTGTAACTTGGAGACATATTAGTATATATTTCCAAAGCCATCCTTTACAAGACAAAAAAAAAAAAAAAGCAGAAGCAGCCTTTAAGAAGGGGTCTTTTGGTGGTAATATTTTCTATTTTAAAACTACCAAGCACTAGGTAACTCAGATTGTGGTTACAATTTTGAATAATTCAGATATGTGCTAGTTTAGATATTTGAGATGCGGGTTTTAAAAAAGTATATCTATCCATCTCCAGAGTTAGGCTTAAAATCATTCTGTTTAGTCCTGCAACACATTTAGAGAATGAAGGCCCAAGTTTAGTAAAACAAACAAAAATCAAAGTTAAATAGGGAGTTATTTTTCTCCAAAATGTACAGGATTTGTCCTAGGAGGAGGAGGTGGCAGCAGTTTAGAGGTTTCTGGTGCTTATGGAGAGTTCACCAGGTCTGCCAACCAAGTAATTTTGATGATTGATATTCATACTTCATTATCCCTGGGGGATGGACAGAGTGGTTTCAGTTTGTCTATACATGTTAAAAGCCATCTGTAATGTCTTTGTAACTTAACCTCTTGAAATTTATTTGTGATAGTAATTGTTTAGAGGTGTATCACAGAAGCATTGTGTCTATTTTTCCATGGTTTTCTGTGAAGCAGAAAACATCTTAGTATTTAGAAGTTAATTAACTGAAGCCCTTTTATAATATTGCAACTTCTGGAAGTTAGCTGTGGCACAGAATATAGTCTGAAAGAAGATACTTTATAAATATAATCCAAGTTTAAAGAGTTTAGGCAGTATTTCTGTACAAGGATATGTGTTTTATCTGGGCTTTGGCAGTGAGAAAACATTAAGATTTTTTTTCATGTATGTGCTGAGAATGAATTGTAATTATTTTTCAGGAGTAGCTTCTTTATTCTGTTCTTGGACAAATAAATATGTAAAATTATTTAAAGTTAGCTTTTGGAAGTATTCCTTAGGTGAAACTTTTTGTGTTTCTTTAGCAGACGAACAGATGGTGAAGGTCAGGGTGACTTCTGAGTTCAAGTGGGGATCTTTTTTCCTTTCTGAAAATTTGATGAAATACACATTTCAAAATAGTCAAATATATCTTTTGACTACTTTGAGCAAGTTTAAATTTGTCTGAAAACAAAGATAATCTGTCTTCTGATTGAATTTATCAGCAATCTCTTTGGTCCTGAGGGCCAGTGTGAAGACTGTTTATGGATAAAACATAATTCCTGGTATTAAAATGAGTTTATCTCAATATGTGGGCTGATTCTAGGTGTCTTGAAGCTGGTTGGCTTGTTTTCTTCTAACTAGACTAAAGGGAGAACCAAAGGTAGTACAGAACCAAGTTTCTAAAAAATTAAAGGAAGATTCTTAAGAAACTGCAAGAGGCTGGCGCCTTGGCTCCATAGGCTAATCCTCCGCCTGTGGTGCCGTCACCCTGGGTTCTAGTCCCTGTCTGGGCGCCGGATTCTATCCCAGTTGCTCCTCTTCCAGTCTAGCTCTCTGCTGTGGCCCGGGAAGGCAGTGGAGGATGGCCCAAGTCCTTGGGCCCTGCACCCGCATGGGAGACCAGGAGAAGCACCTGGCTCCTGGCTTCGGATCGGCGCGGTGTGCCGGCCGCAGCGCACCGGCCACAGCGGCCATTGGGGATTGAACCAATGGCAAAAAGGAACACCTTTCTCTCTGTCCGCTCACTCACTGTCCTCTCTGCCTGTCAAAAAAAAATAATAAAAAAAAAAAAAGAAAAGAAACTGCAATAAAAGAAGAAAGAGTAACAAGCATGGTTTGGCAAATACTGAACTAAAATAACCTTTACTTTAGGATTTAATTTTGGCTTTACCAATTGTTTTTCAACTTTCCAGGATAACTGTTATAAACCAAAATGAATATTTCCATGCAAAGATCAAATGAAAGTTCCCCACCCCCCTTTTTGCCATTTACAGTTATGGTTAGATGGCTATTTTTTTTTTTTTTTTCATTTTATTTGAGAGACAGACTTAACATCTTACAGCTGCTGCCTCATTCCCCAAGTCTTCAGTAGCCAGGGCTGCATCAGGCAGAAGCCAGGAGCCTGGAATTCAATCCTGGTCTCCCGCATGGGCGGCAGAAACCCAAATACTTGAGCCATCATGTGCTGCCTCCCAGGAAGGACATGCACTAGCAGGAAGCTGACTCAGAAGTGGAGCCTGGGTTTGAATCAGGCACTCTGGTATTTGATGCGGCATCCTTAGTGGTGACTTAAGTGCTGCACCTAACCCTTGCCACTAGGTGGCTGATTTTAACCAGAACAAATAATTATACATTTGGTTGAGTATGTTTGAGATTACCTCGTTGTTCAAAATGCGTGCTAGTTTAAAAGGAAATATTTCCCTTAGACATTTGAGGTCTAGCATGATATAGTGATATTTTGAGTACTTATTAATATTGCAGTTGTTAATATTCTTGATAAGTAATATTTTAAAATATTAATACAATAACCCTTAAAAACATTTTGAGGTAGAATATTATACCTTAAAAGTCTGCTAAAAATAAAATGTGGTAGGAAACTGTTTCTTGTTTGTTGCCTGGAGCTTCAAGTCTACATTTTTGTAGCTAATGCATTGTCAAAAGGTGTTTGTTTAGTGATGTCATAATGATAGTGGTAATAGCTGGTATGATTACAACAAATAATAAGGTTTTCTGCCATGGTTCTGAATTAGATGGATGTAAGAGTACTATGGTAACAATTAAATATAACTCTGTAGCTTAAACTCAGCTGGACATGTTCTTTCATAAGGAGGGATGAATCTCAAGATTAGTGATGACTTTTGTGAAATGAACTAAATTAATAATTGGAATTTGATCACATCTTATCTTGAATGAAGCCCGTAAATTAATCTGAGGCCAGACAATAAATGGTGAGTTGATAACCTCTATTAATATTGTAAACAGCAAGGTTTCAGAGAGTCATGATTTTTGTGTCTGGGTAAAATGTGTGTATGTGTGCTCTGAGAAGATGAGGAAGACACGAAGTCTCCTAGATAATATTTTACTGAGTTACAGCTTAATTAGTTATCAGAAATTGTGAACTAATAAATGAAGAATGTAATCATCTAGATAACATTTAAATCACAACATATCATTGTTATAACTTTAAGAATCTTCAGGGCTTGTGTTGTGGTTTTGTGGGTTAAGCCACCACCTATGATGCTGGCATCCCCTATGGGTACCAGTTCAACTCCCAGCTGCTCCACTTCTGATCTGACTCCCTGCTAATGTGCCTGAGAAAGCAGAAAGTGGCCTGAGTCCTTGGGCAGCTGCCATCCACTTGGGAGACCTGGATGGAGTTCCCTCTTCCATCAGTGGATGGAAGATTCTCTCTCTCCGTTTCTCCCTCTTCCTCTGTACCTCTGCCTTTCAAATAAATAAATACATTTTTTTAAAAATTTAAAAAATTTTTTATATTTTGTACTGGTAAAATAAAAAGCATTTATTGTGTAAGGTCACTTAAGAACAAGAATGATCAACATAAAATGAACATAAAATTGCTTTTTATGCCAGTATTTTACTTCAACTTTCTACTTTCTGTAATGAGAAAAATATATTGACATTACCTAGCCTAGCGTTTGTCACCTTTGTATGTTTGTGAATTATTCTGTCAATAAATACTAGTTGTGTGTCAGGCATTGTACTAGTTCTGGGATACATCATTAAACAAGGAAGGTGAGGGCATTGCTCTGAGGAAGCTTATTTTCTAATGGGAGGAAACAGTGATTAGATAATGAGATAGTTCAGCTAATGTTAAGTAGTATGAAGAAAGGAACCTGAGTAAGATGGTGTAGAATGGGCAAGGCTACTTTGGGTAAACTGGTCAGGAAAGACCTCTCTGAGGAGGCAGGGTTGCACTGAGACCTAAATGATAAGGAGCCAGACATGAAGGGAGGGGTGTTTAAGTGGAGGGAACTGAAACAGTCAGAGCTCCAAGGTGTATATGAGTTTGGAGAGTTGGAGGAATATCAAAGCCAATTAGTCTAGAGTTTCCCAAACAACAGTCTGAGGTTAGGAAGGCCTGGTAGTAATGTAAGGCATTATTTGGATTCTGTTCTTTATGTGAGTAAGCCAGCTATGCATGGGCAGCAGAGGAGCCTGTTCATTCTTTCAGCACATTGAGTGCCTGCTGTGGGGCAAACATTATGTTCTCAGTGCTGGGCACAGGTAACAGACATTCCCTAACCTTGGTGATCACAGATCGATCTTGGCTGCTACATGGAGGGAGAAATTGTAAAGGGGCAAGAATAGCAGTAGGAAAGCCAGGCTGTTGCAGTTAGTAGTTGAGAGATGATGGCTTGGACTAGATTGGAATTGGAGAAATGAGGAAAGGTTGGGAATGTATTTGGGAAATAAAGATGAAGGGATTTACTGATGTTTTGGAGGTGACAGGTGAAGGGATGAGGAATCAAAGATGGCATCTTAGATTTGACCTAGTAATTATGATGGATAGTGGTGTCATTTCCAGAGAGGTGAGGAGTCTAAGGAATCTCAGTGGACTGATTATTCTGTTTTGGCCATGTGAAGTTTGAGATGCTCCTTAGGAATTTAGGTGAGATGTTGAGTAGGCAGCTGGGTATACAAGTATGAAGCTCAGTGGGGAGTTCACTGGGAGGGAGATAGGAATGTAGGAGGAGTTGCTTGTGTGAAACTGTAAGGTCATAGAGGTGGGTGGATCACATGGAGGTATTATGGAGAAAACAGCAGAGAGTATAGATAAGACAGCAGAGGTCTGAGCCTTGGAATACTTGTATTTTCTATTCCAGTGGAGGAAGTCAAGCCAGTTGAAGAGACTGAGAAGCAGCAGCCAGGGAGGTAGGAGTCAAATCCAGAGAATGTGGTGTTCCGGAAGAAGGGGCACAGAAAGCAGGAGTGATCGCCAAAGAGGCAATGTCAGATGAGTCAGCAGGAAATGATCGGTGCCATTGCCCAGTTCCAGTGACAGACTTAACATTTTGAAATTGGTGAAGATATGTAATCCAATAATCCAATGAACTCGCTCTGTTGCATAAGGTTCAGTATATGGGTGCTCAGTGATGTTTAAATTGCTTTCCCTTTACCACTCCTCAAACTAATGTGACTGGGAATCTAGGTTTGCCTGAGGTGTTCAGTGTCATAACTAGGGAAAGTGTTTTGGATTTGTCCAGGAAACCCCTGGTGTGCTTTACATTGCGGGTAGCTGAGCCTGGATCAGATAACTCTGCTGGAGACATCTGACCTATTGGACAGTATTCTCCTATTGGAATAGAAGATCCAGTCAGGCACCAGACTTTGACATCTAGTTTCATTTCATGCTCTTACTGACCTCCTTCTGGTCTGAGAATCTCCCTCAGAAGAGTATCTCTACCTCTACTTTTTTTTTCTTTTTTTTTTTTTAAAGATTTATTTGAAAGGCAGAGTTATGGAGAGAGAGAGGTCTTCTATCCATGGGTTCACTCCCCAAATGGCCTCAGTGACAAGGGCTGAGGCGAAGCCAGGAGCCAGGAGCTTCTTCCCAGTCTCCCACGTGGGTGCAGGGGCCCAAGCACTTGGGCCATCCTCTGCTGCTTTCCCAGGTGCATTAGTAGGGAGCTGAATTGGAAGTAGAACAGCTGGGACTGAACTGGCTCCCATATGGAATGCCGGCACTGTAGGCCTGGGCTTTAACCTGTTGCACCACAGTGCCGGCGCCTGCCTCTACTATTTCTTTTTCCCTCCTTGATAAATTGTTTTGAGATATCATTAGGTAGTACTAAATTAATTCACGTGGTTTACAAGATTTTAGTTACTTTGAAGGGAGTGAGTATAAGGTCAGAAACTTTTTTGTTATGTCCTTTTTTACAGAGTAGATATCTGGTGAATATTGATATTTAAAAAAGATACTTTCCAGTATTAAATTTCAGAGTTCTGACATGAACAGTTTTTCGTTGCTCCTTAGGAAGAGAGTGGGTTGAAAGCTTTGGACTATATTTCATGTAGTTTAACAATTTCTACCAGTTGGTTACATTGCTTTTGTAGAGGCAAAGATTATATGCCTATGAGCCATAAGAAATTATATATACAAGTATATGATTTTTCTATGACTTAACCTTTTTAAAATTATTTATTTGAGAAGAGGAGAGAGAAAGAAAGATACTACAAGCAAGCATGCAGATAAATTCCCAACTGCTGGTTCGTTTCCCAAATGTTCACAGTGGGGTGGTGAGGGATAGGGAGCCAGGAACTTAATGTAGGTCTCTTGCAAGGGAGGAACTCAACTGCTTGAGCAGGAAGCTGGAATCAGAAGTGGGAGGTGGTAATTGAACCCAGACACTCTAATGTGGGATGTGGGCGTTGTAACTGAGGGCTTAATAGTTGGGCCAAATGTTTGCCCTGCCATGATATATGGGAAGCTTTTTCATTAATGCTGAGCATTCCTTCTCATTTTCAGAATGAAATGTTTGACTAGAGATTTTTAATTTTGGGATAGAAAATTTCCAGATATTTAAAAGTTTTCTGAAATCTTTGAAATATTTTAAGACAAATTTTGTTTTAATTTTGGCATTTAAATATATTGTGTGGGGGCACTTATATTCCTAAGAATCAGAAAAATAAAAAGGTTGTTGAAGAATAATTAGCCTACTGTGCTTTCTTTTCTTTAGTTTTTTGTTTTTTTGCTTCTATGTGTATTCTTATTTTTTGTATTTTTTATTCGGTAAAAATTTATTTGAGAGGGAGAGGGAGCTCCCATCTGTTGGTTTAGTCCCCCAAATGCTTGTAATGGCTGGACTGAACCATGCTGAAGCCAGGATCTGGGAACTCAGTCCACTTTTCCTGCCTTGGTAGCAGTGAAATAATGATTTGAGCTGTCACCTGCTGCCTCCTAGGGTGCATGTCGCTCCCCCTCTTCGTGGAGGAACGACACAGGACCCTGCGCTGTTCTTTCGTCTGCTCGGCCCTCCCCGGGTTTGCTGCTGGTTCTTCCCGGGTTGGCTACTATCCCTTCCACCTCCGTGGAAGGGCAGTTCCCCCTGGCCACATTCCCCACTTCCGCAGGGGAGTGGCACACCGCCGGCTGGTTCTCTCGGGGGCTGCACGGGTTCCCTTAGATGTTCCCCATAGATGTTCCTGGTGCATGCCGTCTCTCTCCTCCTTTATAGTCCTCCTCCGCCAATCCCAACTCGGCTGCCCACACGCCGAGTACGCTGCTCTCCAATCAGGAGCAAGTCCTACAGTTAATTGGTTGAACTGGAGGCAGCTGTGCGGAAGCTGTTTACTTCTCTCCCAGCGCCATATTGTGGGAGAGCAGATGCATAGAATAAGTCTTAATTCCAGTAACTTAGTCTAGTCCGGTTGCTCCCCACAGGTGCACATTAGTAGGAAGCTGGAGTCAGGAGTGGAGCTGAGACTTGAACCCAGGTAGTCCGATCTGGGATGCAGGCATCCTAATCCATATCTTAACTGCTGGGCCAAACACCTGCTCCTTCTGGTTCCTTTGAAGGTCAGTGGTTTAATCGAGAAAAGTGACATTCATCATTAGTCTTACAGTTTTGAAGTTTAGGAGAAGTTTGATCAGTGTCTTCATTCTTCATTTTTTCTGAGTCCTGATTAGTTGTGGTGTAATTTACTACCATATAGCTGTTATTGTGAAGCAGTTTATTTACAAGACAAATAGTAATGCCTCTGGAATACCACTTAGTGTACTGTCTTACATTTGTAGTGTTTGTATTAGCAGTTTCTCATTAGATTTTACTGGACCTAATTTTTTTCTAGTTTTTCAACTGAAACCCGCACATATGGAAAGAATAAGTTAAATATGTGGCTCTCATTCTGAATAGCTGTCAAAATACCATTTTCAACACTGTATTTCATATAACTGTGAGACAGGACTCTGGTCTGTCAACACACTGAAATCAACAAACATGTAATTTTTTTCATAGAGACAGTCATTTATGTTGGGTTCTGACCTTCTTGAGGTCTTTTTCTAAGTACTCAATGAATATTTATTAGTTCAAATTCATACTTTTTCAGTGAAAGGCAGACTACTTGTTTATCCATCTGATCATTCTTATTGAGGTCATATTAACAAAAGCCTGAACCAATATAGTTTAAGGGCCTTGTTGCAGTAGAATTAAAAACAAGGAAATTCAGGATCATATCTGAAGCATCTGTTTTTATATTGCAGTAGTGTCGCTCCCCGTCTTCGTGGAGGAACGACACAGGACCCTGCGCTGTTCTTTCGTCTGCTCGGCCCTCCCCGGGTTTGCTGCTGGTTCTTCCCGGGTTGGCTGCTGTCCCTTCCACCTCCGTGGAAGGGCGGTTCCCCCTGCCACATTCCCCACTTCCGCAGGGGAGCGGCACACCGCCGGCCGGCTCTCTCGGGGGCTGCACAGGTGTTCCCCTTAGATGTTCCTCTTAGATGTTCCTCGTGCATGCCGTCTCTCTCCTCCTATATAGTCCTCTCCACCAATCCATGCTCTGCTACCCACACACCGAGCGCGCCGCTCTCCTCCAATCAGGAGCAAGTCCTACAGTTTATTGGCTGAACTGGAGGCAGCTGCGTAGAAGCTGTTTTCTCCTCTCCCAGCGCCATATTGTGGGAGAGCAGATGCATAGAATAAGTCTTAATTCCAGTAACTTAGTCTAGTCCGAGTTGCTCCCCACAGATCCCCCTTTCTTTTTATTTTTTGGCGTTGATACGCGCCTGTCTTCGGTGCCCCGCGGCACACACTCTGCTCTGCTTGCTAGAGTTGCCACAGGTTCTTACAAGTCCTATCAATCAGGCAAACCGAATCCGGGTCCTCTCTTCGCCATGTTGTGAGGAGGTTTTTAGGCGCTGATGCGTGCCTGTGTTCGGTGCCCTGCAGCGCATGCTCTGCTCTGCCTGCAGGTGCTTACAAGCCCTATCAGGCAAACCGAATCCAAGCTTTCTCATTGCCATATTGTGGGGAGGCTTATTGGTGTTGATTCGTGCCTATCTTCGGTGACCTGCAGCTCATACTCTGGTCGAGCTGCCTGCTGGTGCTTATCGCCCTAATCAGGCAGACCGAATCCAAGCTCTCTCATTGCTGTGTTGTGGGGAGGCCTTTCTATTTCTCTATTTCTCTATCTTCGGGCATTCCTATTTCTCTCATTTTACTTCTAAACTTCTGTTTCTCTTATCCCTGCGGCTTCCCGGCACCCGCCCCGAGGCTGCTTCTCGGCACCTCGCCCCGCGGCAGCTTCACGGCTCTGCGCGGCTTCCCGGCGCCTCGCCCCGCCGGCGGGTTCCCAGCTCTGCGCGGCTCGGCTTCTCGCGCACACTCCGCGGTCTCCACGCCCCTTCGCGTCCGAACCACGGCCTCGCGCCAGCCCCGCGTTCCCTATCTATTCACGCCCCGTGCTCTCTCTGCACGCGGCGGCTTCCGCGAGTCACACAGCGTAGCTTACGTCTCCGCCACTAGCATTCAATCCAAGTTCCCCGGACTAACCTGGTGAATTCCAACCTGGCGGCCCACATCTCTGCCTCTGGTTCCAGATCTTCGCCTCTTGCTCCCCGGGGTGACTTGAAGAATTCCAAGATGGCTTCCGTCTCCGCCTCGGCCTGCACTCGCGGCTTCATCCTCCCTAACATTTTTCTCTACCCGGTATGTTTCCCTAAGTTTTCTTCCAACAATATTCCTCCCTCATTTCTCCTGGCCTCTCCCCACAGTCCGTATCCAAGTCTAAGTTTCTTATAGGTTTCACTTTCACTTTCAACCTGCAGTCCGTATCTAAGTCTAAGTTTCTTCTTGCTTTCACTTTAAATCCTAACTTCTTTCCCACAGTCCGTATCCGAGTCCAAGCCTCCTCCAAGTTTCACTTTCGCTTTCAATCTC